TTTGGCTTGTCTGGGGGTTTGTTTGTTGGAGCGTGCCGTTAAATCCCACTCAGTTTTAAAATGGGAAGCTCTAAAGCAGAGGCTCCCAAACTGTGGCCTGCAATCTTCATTCAAGGGGTCCCACAGTGTGCCTGCAGATCAGTGGTTGAAGCTGGGAAATGGGCACATCCATTTCACTGAATATTTGATCTTAATTTTTAATGTACTTTTTAATTGCTTCTTTTCTTTCTTATATTGCATTTGAAGTCTAAGGAATTACAATTGGTACAACGGGCAGAAAAATATTTAAGTGGTCCACCAGGACCTCCAGTAATTTTCAAGTGGTCCGTGGGCAGAAAGGGGGGCATTTGGGAACTGCTGCTGGGGAGCAATCTTCTGTAGGGTTCTAGACAGGTCGCTGCTCACTATTTTGGAGCAGAAAAGAATCAGACTGGAGTGTTCACAGTACATTGATACAACCTCAAAGCTGACTGAAATCCTTTGTGGGCGGGTGTTCTAAAAAGCATGAATATTGAATACACAAAACAGAGAGCAGCACTCTGGTCTTAAACCAAACATCCTATGAAACAGCTATTTCAAAAGCGCTCAGAGCTACAATAGATCTATCTGTGGGAGTGGGTCCATGATAATATCCAGCTAGATCTACTGGCTTCCTTTTTATTCAGATCATTTGCCTGTAATGCCTTAGGAAGCATTTAGTGCTCGCCTGCATTTCACCAGGATTTTTCAAAATGAAATTATGCTGGCGGTTTTTCTTCTTTCACATCCGCCTTCCCTCCAGTGTGTTGGTGATCCTGCTCGAGTAAGCCTTACTGAGCCTGCGAGGAAGCCAAAGCAATCTAAACCCCATTGGCAAATATGGTTCTGATTATTTAAATGAAATTTACTCATAATTGGGGTGGCACTTAATCCATGAAGTCGTAATTGACCAAGGCGGGAGAAAGAGGCTCTGAAAGGAGGTAACTAGATGGCCCTTGATTCTCTTTCAGGGTCCTCCCCATCAGGATATTTGCTCACAAAAGGAACTGGGGAGGGGGAAGAGAAGATAGGCATTTCTGAGACGTGCTCCATGGAATTACAAATAAGAGGAACAGCTCATTGCGCCTCCTCTAATTTTCATGGGCCTAATGGAAGAGACTCGCTCAAAACAAATCTTTTCTCTGCAGAGCGGCTGGGTGTCTACAGAGAGAGAGGCTAAATGCCCGGCTTTTGATAGAGGCCGAGCTTTCATTGTGCGAGGAGGCCAGCCAAATTCTGTGTGGGTCCCCCACCCCACCGAAAAGCCCACATAAGCTCTTGTTAACAAGCACAGTCCTTAAAGAGGCCTGAAAGCGATGGCTACAGCTTGAGATGAAGTCGGATCCTGGCTGTCGGAGACCCTGCAATAAATTGGCCTCTGGAAATTCTCTAGGGCTGGTATTCCTCAAGGTAAACCCATTTCAACTCAGCGAAACTTCCTTCCCAAGGACAGGTTAGATTTTGCCTTAAGCGTGACTTTTTCTCAAAACTGGAGCTAGTTCAAAGACGTAGCTCTGTCCTGAGCGAGGACCTGAAAAGGGATCATCTGTAGGAAATGTAACTGCCTGAATGAGAGGCTGCCGGGTATTGCTGGTGGGGTGGAGAAAAAAGAGGGGTTTACAGTCAGGTTTGCGCATGTTGATTTGGAAAGCAAGACCCATCAGCAGATTCACTGTGGATAATTCCCAGGCATAGGATGGCAGCCAAACAGTGGCAAGGGGAGGGAAGAAGGGGTACAAACAGGGAGTGTCTCTCTCTCTCTTTCTCTCCTTTATCTGAGAATATGACATTGTCGACAGGCCCAAAGGGGAAGAACTTGCACACACCCATCTCCAGCGAGAAACACAAGGTGAAACAAAGTCCTCTTTAAAAACAACAACAGAGGGGGATGGGGAGGGAAGCTTTAGCTGTCAAGCTCCATCGACCGCCTTGTCTGCGCTTTTGACAAGACCAATCTGATGTGCTCCCGAGTCAAAATTGCTAACAGAGACCTCCTTCTCCTCTCGCTGCTGTTTCTGGAGAGGGGAGATCTCTCTCTCTCTCTTTCTCTCGGGTCATCTCCCCTCCCGACTCCTCGCCGCCCTCCCCACCCCCTCTCTCTGGCAGGATCGCAACTATGAGCCGTTTCTCTTTCTCCTTCCTGAGAGGGAAGCGATTGCCAAACCGGGTCAAAAACCTAGATTCGAAATTGCGAAGCCTGCCTGGTTCCACCGAAGAGACTCAGGCTGGAGTCTCTGTTCTCAGGGGCACCCAAGCCGATTGGAACAGGCTCTTGCTCAACTGCTTTGCCGATCGCCGCCTCCTGTTACAGAGCAAGGGGTGTTGGGCATCGAGGCCCCCAAGATTCTTGTTTAGACAGATTGCCCCTCCACACACATGTACTCACCAGTATTTTATTTTGATGGTTCTGTATTACAAGTGTACTATAGCGGGTGGTCTTTTTAAAGAAGAAGAGGCAGCAGCAGCAGCTATAAAGCTCCTCTCGCATACGAACTCCTATCGACTTCCGCTGGGTTTACTCGCGAGTAAGCGGGAACAGGATTTCCAACTTTGTCGTTTTCAGATCTCATGCCATTTCAACGGGAGAAAGTGGAGGCTTGATTTAATGCATCCGCGGCGGGGGGGGGGGTGTTTGTGTGTGAAGTTTGCATGTGATTCAGTTCGCCAGAATACGGTGTGATTTATTACCCGTAGACATCAACCGATGAATATTTGCACAAAACAGGAGAATGTATGAGTTCCCTGTCCCGAGGAGCACCGCGAACAGACATTCGGGCACCATCGGGAGACTTGACCTCCGCGAGGAAAAGGGGTTCTTTCTAATACGAGTATTTAAAATCCCCGATTCAAACCTGCTCCTTCTAAGATCGGCCACGATGCCCTCGTCGGCTAAGTACTGCGGCTGGATGTCATCGAGGCCCCGCGTCTTGCTGAACGCAGACACCCGGTTGACTATCCACAACTTAAAGCGAGAGCTTAGCGGTTCCGAGTTTGCAACTCGGCTCTCTCCCTTAAGCGAAAGCCAAGGTTCTCTTCCAATTAGGCACTCACGGCGCTAGTCCTCCGGGTGCGCTCGGGTGCCGCCGTGCAAAGGCAGAATCCAACTGCGCGCCGCGCTACTGAGAGAACCGACGTGGCGGAGCTGTGAACCCCGCGACCCCCTCAACTCAGAGAAGATCCACACCGATTCGACGGGACGCCTAACCTCCCAAGAGTTGTTGAAAGCTTTTCCGATTTCCCCCGTGTTTCTGGCACTCCCCTGTCTCCAGCTCAGAGAGAGATTAAAACGGAGAGCTGGTTGAGGGATCTTCACGTCTCTGCCTCCTTTCTGGCTACTAGAACACGTCGCCCGCCCACGTCTACACGACTGTGGCACTCGCTGGTTTGAACACGCGGGACTGCCACCGTCGCGGCTTAGTCAGAACTTCATTCTAAGAAGCGTTTCCCCCAATCGACGTAAGAAAAGTCCTATTTGTCTACCCCAGCTCCTCAAGTTTTCTTCTTGATCTAGGCTGTTAACACAGCACAAATCATCGGGCAGCAACAGATAAAGAACTCTGTGCGACTCCCAAACTTGGCACGTTCTGCTCTCAACAGAATTTCCTCTAAGCCTCCACCTCGCTAGCTGTGTATCTCTGTGTTACGAAGCTACCTTAAACCATTTAGTTCAATATCGTCTCCACACTGAGCTGCAATATTTCAGGCGGGGTTCCCACCCCAGCTCTACTTGAAGATGCTGAGGTTTAAACTAAAGACCTTTGGAGCGCAAATCAGACTGTACCAATGAGCTACGGCCCTTCCTCTCTTTTTTAAAGCAAATTTAACAGGAGGCGAGGTCTTAAATCCACTAGAATATTTCCAATTTGGGCTTCCTCAGGATTGCGGCCCTCTCTAGCGCAATTAAAGCTGCCAAATATTTCTGATTTATCCAGCATTCTCCCCCATCGGATTAGAATTTCCGAAGTTTAGGGGAAATACCCCCAGAACAGCTGTCTCAAGCATCCCGACCCGGAAACACACGGAGGAACGGCAACATCCTATGCATGTATAGCAACCTGAGGATTAACCAAAGCGATTTAATTGGCACATTAACGTAAGGAAGCAAATCTCATAGGCGTTCCTTTAAGCTTCGTGCGTCCAATATTTAGGAGGCAGTTTATGCCAGGACTCAAGTATAAGAACACGTTCCACGAAACTCACTGGGAGACTTCCTTGTGAGGAGACAGCGTTAGGTGTCGAGGATCGGGAAAACAGTCTAACCCAAATCACGAGACCTGATCCTGATCCTATTCACTTTTTCCTGGAAGTGCAAATTCAGAGAGTTCTCAGTCACACACACACCCAAAATATCATCTCTCTAGGATTTATTTCCAAATGAAATTCATCGGTGGCCAAAATGGGCTTTAGAACTATAAATCTTGGGTTGGAGAGCACGGCAGCGCATGTTTGCCTTCGGACAGATCGCAAGGGAGCTTCCAGAAGCAAACGGGTCTCGGATGTGCTGCCAGACGGCTCGATCCCAAATCACACTGCAAATCACACCTAGGTGCCATCTTCGCCTTGGGAGGAGCGAGCAGCAACAGCGAGAGGTCGCACGTGGCCGGCCGCGCTGGTAAACTTCCCTAACTTGACGCGTCAGGACTGTGGAGCAGATTAACTCTCCTTCCACAAACCCGCCAGTTCCAAGAGAGCCCAATTAAAACATCATTATTCCAGAAGCAAAGAATACAGCCCCGCCGGGAATTGGCAGTACAATGGCTTCCCTCCCAAAATTCCCCCTTTTTTGCCTAATGCAATACACGTCTAAACAATTTTTAATAAGGCAGGATCTCAACAACAAAAAATCCAACCCCAAGGTTTAACTAGGTTGCTCCACTCGATCGCTCACACAATTATTAAAGAATAAATCCAGTGTGTCTGTCTGTGTCTCTCTACCTCCCCCCACCCCAATTCTTCACTCCGGGGACCCCCCCCCAATTTACCTGGAGGATGTTGGGGTGTCGCAGCCTCTGCAACAAGACCATCTCCTTGGCGATCTTATAGGAAGCCAGGCGATAGCAGCCTTCCAAGGAGGCGTACAGCTTGACGCAGTTGTCGATGTCGTGGCCGCCGAAATCGACGGACTTGAGGGCCACGGCCAGGCTGCGGTTGAGCACGGCTCTGTAGACGGCCTTGGTGTAGCCCGAGCCCAGGTAGTGCACGTTGCTCACGTTGCCGATGTCCCGGCAGCCGAGCGCCAGCGGGCCGAGCGAGAGCTCCAGCTGCGCTCGCGGGTGGTCCCAGGGCGCGCCGCCCCAAGAAGGAGCCCGGGGTCCGGGAAGCTTGGGGCGGCTGCTGCTGCGCTCCGTGGAAGAAGAAGACAAGGAGGGAGAGAGCCGCTGCGGAGCGAGATCCATGAGCCGCCGCTCCAGGGGTCGCACTGCCAGGCGAGCGCCGGCGGCAGCTGCCTCCCGAGGCGGCTGGTAGCGCAGCACCTCCTCGTAGCGCTCTCGGATCTGCCGGGCGAGGTCCTCGGGGAGGGGGCGGCTGCTGCTGCTGCTGCTGCTGCTGCCCGGCGAGCCCGCCAGCGAGTGCGTGACGCCCGCGCTCAGCTGCTGCTGCTGTTGCTGCTGGGGATCAAAGGCCGGGATGAAGAGGACGTTGAGCAAAGTGCCCAGCAGGAAGGACATGCAGAAGCCGGCGGCCACGGCCAGCTTGCGCCGCTTCATCGCCCCGGAGAGCTCGGGCAGGGCAGCGATCGCGGCTCGCCGCTGCTTGCCTCCGCTGCCGCCGCTGATCAGCTTGGCTGCCGCGAGCTCCTTTGCAACATTCCAGCTCCGCAGCAGCGACGGCCAAGGAAAGAAAACCACCAGCGGCTCTCCCAAAAATAAAAGCACCCGCCAGCCGCCTCCTCACGCTGCCCGGCCGCCGCTCCGCTGCCCTGCCACCCTCATGACACTTGCCTCCTCCAGCGCCGCCTTTATAAAGCCTCCCCGAAGCGCTTATTATTAGCTGCACCCCTGCCAGGAGGGAGAGGGGAGTTCGCATTTGGAACAGGGGAGGGCAATGTATTTGGAATCCTCCGAGCGTTCTGCACACATGGTGACGCCGCCTGATTGGCGGCTCGGCGCCGCCCGCGGAACGCGGAGGGCGGCACGGGGGTGGATGGGAAACGTAGTCTCCCGCTCGGCGCGGAGAATGGAGAGCGCGGGGAGGGAGGACTACGGGTCCCAGAGGGCGCTTCTGCGACGGAGAGGAAAGGGGGCTCCTGGAGGAGGCGCCGCGGACTCGATAACGGTGTCGCCCGCAGAAGACAGCGGGGAATGGGACCGGGTATGGGGCCCCTTCTTGCCCGGCGGCTGGTTCGCTGCATCGCCGCCTGACCCGTAGGGAAGGGAAGGGAAAGGGGGTCGTCGGAATACGGAAAGTAGAGCTTGTAAATTAGGAAATCGTCAGGACTCAGAGGGCGGGAGGCGAGGATGGGTGTATTGGAAGGTTATTTCTCTGCTTCGACCTTTCTGGATTTGGGGCTCCGATTGCCCCAGGGTGTCCATCTGAAGACAGAAATTCATCGCTCTACTTTAGTGCACGTGTGCGCGTGTCGTAGCCGGACAAACTGACACCCTCTTTTCCAAACCTCTTATTTTGAGGATGCTGTGACGATTCTGTCTATGATCAAGTGGTGATTTTGTGGGTGGGTGGGGTGTATTTTTAAATGCTTTAAGAGCTGTCCAGATACTTCCGTCGCTTTCACCCTCCCGCCGCGCCCCTTCATCTGCCGCCCTCCTGACATTGTCCCATGAATCATACGCGTGAAGGAGCCTCTGTGGAACAGGCAGCGCCCGCGTCGGAATGCCGATGTGAGCGAGGGAAGTGGGCAGCAGAAGAAGGATGGGTGAGACGAGGAAAGTTGCTTTTCTCCCCCCCCCCCCCACTGCTGACCTTTCAAAAATATGTCCCAAACTGAATATCAACTTCAGAATTGCATGAGGTCATTTATTCTTTATGGCAGCGCTGATGAACCGCTTTCCCTATTAATTTGTACATATTTAAAGCTATGGACAAATGCCTGTTTGTAATAAATAGGAATAAACGTTTATTTCAGACTGTGCTTGTGCCACGCTCGCAGCTGGCCCTTGTACTGCTAGAGATCAATATCAAATATCGATGGTTGCTTACGTGAGAAGGAAACAAGGTTCACGGAACTCAGTCGAGTTTACTCCCGTGTAAACATGGATGGTATCTTTAAAGTCAGTGGGTAGAAGCCATACTTGGTCCCGTTTAGGGTAGGCCCACTGAAATCAATGGGTCTACTCTAAACATGTCGGTGTTCAGCATCACCGCTCAATACAGGTTGGCATTTTAAGGCTACTGAATGAAGCTCAACCTTACTTTACCTCCCCTACCCCACCCCCGCCAGCCAGCCCCATAACACCTACAAATTATGGGTCGTTTGGAAAGCCATTTGTGTAAATGGGAGGCGGGGCTCAGCCATCGGCGCTGAATCGCCTTTGCCTGGAGGGGCAGACATAAATCCGATTTAAAATACACAGTTGCAACAATGCCGCGATAAATCGCCGCGATTAGGTTGGCCGAGGGTGTTAAATGAGGCGAACAGAAAATTTGCTTTCTAGGCAGAGGAAAGTGGCGAGTCTTAAATGGACCGGGCGCCTTTCATTAAGGCGAGTGAATATTTCAGATTTCCCAGCTCAGTCCCCTGTGTGCCTATCTGCTCAAAACTCAATCGCGTTGAGGTTAATGGGATTGCCTGAGACTGCAATCCCAGACACACTTACCTGAGAGTAAACCCCACTAGACACAAATGTTTTGCTAGTAATAGAACTAAGATGCATCCAGCGGGACTTACTTCTGCATATCCATTAACAAAGGATTGTGAGGTTTTATCTCATGGGCGGAAGAGCTACAAACTTTCTCTGAGCTACAGAGTGTTTAAACCTCCCTCTTCAAATATTGCGC